TCGATGGCTCCACCAGCCATGCAATCAGCAGCTGACCACATGCCGCCTGGCCTACCTCCCGCCTGATCTCACGACTTCGGGCCAGCTCCACCCACGCAGCTCGGGCAGGCAGCAACGACATGGAGCGGTCCTGCGCGCCCGAAACATCAAGGGCATCAGAAGGCGCTTCTAGCGCAGAGTCGGCGCCCCCTCCAACATACTAGTACTACGTGTGCGTCGCCCCCCCCCCCCCCCCCTCCCCCCAGGGGCGACGCGCGCGCAGAGAAATCTCATGGTATATGCGTCGTGGCGGGCGCTTTCTGGCCGTGCCGCTCGGGAAGCGATGTAGCACAATGTGGTTATTCTATATGTCTGGGTCGGACGCGCGCCTCCGAGGAGGGCTCGTAGTACATGTCCTTCTGCGTCCCGGCGTCCCGCAGAACGCCATCGATCAAGCGGTGCCTGGTGCATCAAGGACCGCGCCCGTGATTGGCGCGGGCGAGCCCCCCGCCAGGGTCGCCGCCGACGTCTCAGACGCGACCGGACTTCGCGTTTGGGGGGGAAATCCTCGATGCTCAAAATCTTCCTCGCAGCAGTCGCAGCTGGGCAACTGATGGGCGTTCCCTCGTCGGGCGAGGAGTCGAGACGCTCCTGGACGGAGCCGCTGGTCTCGCAGCATCGATCGCCGACCCATGCATGGGCGCCGACGTCTGTGGATGGGGCGCAACAGTCACCCTGTGCATGCAGCCGACCGACCCGGCCCAGTGCGCGGCCTTCCAGAAGGAGATCACCCCTCTGAGCCCAGCCACGCGGCGACGTCGCCAACGACTGCCTCGTCGGAAGCACCTTCGCCCCGCGGCCGCCTCGTCGATCGGGACGGGTTTGCCGGTTGGCGCTGCACGGAGTTGCCGCTCTCATGCTCCGCTTGCCGCCCCGCGAGTTGCAGCGCCTCGAGGGAGACGGGGGCATCTGATCCACATCTGTCAACATCAGTGCATGCAGGCGACGACATCGCTGGGGTTCACCTCTGACTGGGCGGCTTTCCATCGTCAGCTGCAGCCCAGCAGGCTCATTTACACTCAGCAATGTCCGTCCAGCAGTCCGCCGCCGCCCCTCCCTCCACGGGCGGTGGTGCGAGCCGAGTCGAGATGCTCTGTTATTGTATGCGCGAGTTGACTCATCTGCTCATTCTTGCTGCCGCGCGGGCGCGTCTCGGTGGCGGCTGAGCTGTCGTTCTCGCGCGCTGCGGATTCAATGGCGTTCAGTTTCAGCATCGACAGGTTTTGCCCGATCTCGCCCGTGTTAGTTCAGATATGCGGCAATTCCCGGGCGCCCCCCCCCATTCCTGGGGAGGTCAGGCTTTTTCACGGGCGTTCTCTTCGAGCGAGGCGAAAAGCCGGCGGGGTGCGACCGCAGAGATGGCGACAAACTCTCCCCTTCAGTTCGCGCGACCGTCCGCGGCTCAATCAGACGTCGGCAAGTGCGACTCACCACACGGGCCGTATTAGCAGGAATGGGAGTGCATGCGCACCGTGCAGCGAATTGGAGGCAAGGCTGGCCGATGTTGCTTCGATGGCCTTCTTGTGCGCGCGAATGCAGGCGGGGGCAAAGTACTGGCCGGCGACAGGAGGGCGGTTAAGAGACGCACAATTTTTGCAGTCAGTGCCAACGATCTTGCCAATATTCAGAGCAACGACGAGGTTTGCCTAGATTGCGATGCCCAGGTCACCGCTAGCACGCCCGAGACAATAGACGTAGGACGCGGGATCTCACGGCCCTCCCGTCTGCGGCAACGTTGACGAGGCTGGAGTTCTAGATGGCGTCAGTCATGACTTGCATCATATTGCCATTCCCTGATTTGCCGAAGTACCCCTGCTGTTACCCGTCAAAATGCAGATTTTTGTGTCGGTGGCTGTCTGGGGCCGAAGGTGGGCCGGCGTTTTTTTTTTTTTTTTTTTTTTGTAATATATATATATATAGACGCCCGCAATTGCGGCGCTTAACATCATCGCACTTTCGTCCGCCGCAAGTGCGTGTAGATTGCAGCCCAGTTGACGAGCGATTGCCATGTTTGTGGGCTACCATATCGCGGCTCTGGTCTCGCATGTCTGAGTTTGAATATGTTCCTGGCCATCTGTGAGAAGCTGGGCGTCGGGTCTCCGGTTGTTTCTTCGACATCACGCAGTTCTTTTACGCGGACAATCTGCCGCTCTAATCCTGCTTCAAGGCTCAGTCCTCGGATGTAGACCATCATGGCGGATCTTGTGGCGCCGGATTGCTTGGCCCCCTTCCCGAGCCACGCGATTGCTTGGCTTGGAAATCCTGGGTGGTTCCCACGGCCCCCGCGTTCGTCGGTCTCAGGACTCTTTGGTTCGAAGTCAAAGGGCCTCATCTTCGGCCCGAAGCCGTTCGAGGGCGATCTCATCGCATGAATCTACACTTGGTCCATCAGTTCCTTTTGCCAGTGCCTGCAGGCATGTGGGGGCGATGTCTGATAACCCAGACCGGCCGACAGAATGGCGCCCTGAGCACCCCTGAAAAGCGCGTTTCGACCCCCCCCCCCCCCGGGCCGATGCGCAGGCCAGAGTGAAGTGCGCCAAGTCCTTGTGCTCTGCGCGGCTGCTCAACAACAGTGTGAACTTGGCGGGCAGCGCGATTTCCCGAGGAGGGATGAGATAGACTATGCCCACTCCCTCCTCTTTAGATCTGCCACACAGCTAACCCGCTCCTGGATGCACGGGGCCTGCTGCTAAGGCTCTCAAGCTCGCCGACGCTGTTCCCGCCCCCTCCCTTGTCCGTTTTCGTCGGCTTCGGCTCGCGAGCAAGCTCGCTAGTTCTGCTCCCGGCAGCTTGCGTCACATGCTAGATCTAGCTCCACATCGCACAGCTAAATCGGCCCCTGCGTTTGGATTAGCCTGGCCAAATGAGGCCAGCAGGCGATGTTTTTGACAGGTCATGCGGTCTCTGAACGTGCCCCGGTGGACACGTTGGCGCAGCAGTGCCATCGCCGCAACAGTAATACCCTACTGTGACTGGGCCGGCCTATAGGTGTGCCACTACGACATCGAGCAGCTACGTGTATCTTTTCGTATTCTCCCCCCTCCTTTGAGAGTCCCCCTCCTCCTGCCCTCTGTTGCCCATGCGAGAACTGCGATGTTATGGCATGGGCCCGCGCCACACGGAAGGGCAGTGCACCGTGGCTCAGTCCTCGCTGGTCCCTGTTCAAGCGGTCGCCAGCGGCGCGATCGTTCAAGCAGTGGATCCACCCACGTCTTTTCAAGCGCGCGTCGACCCTCCCGCTGCCTCTCCTCCCTCGCCGCTGCGACGCACCCCCCGTGGCGAAGAGCTTCGCTCAGTCGAGGCCGCGGATGCCGGTTTCGCAAAATCCATGCGCCAGGGAGGCGGATGCGCTGAGCTGTCCGAGCCCCCCCCCCGGGCTCGTTTCGATTCCTCCGATTCGATTCGATTCGACTTCGATGGCTTCCAATTCCGATTCGATTCGATTTGGGTTCCGATTTTTCATTGGAGGCATACTAGCCTGCCGATGTCCGCCGATTCGACTATTTCCGACTCGGCTGCCGATTTCCGTCGATCCGATTCATGTCGATCGCCGACCCGACTTGTCGATTCGATTCCGGGCTCTCTTGCCCCCCGCCCAAAAGGCGATCACTGGGCCCGGATTCCTGGGGCGCCCGCGCTTCCACCGTCGCCAGGTGCTCGGTGGCTCGTCGAGCGCTTCCCGAGGTCGCTGCCCCTCCTCTCTGCCCGGGCCGAGCGGCCCCTGGCCTCTGGGGGCGTTTGTGCTCTCGGCTTCTCTCCTGGGCAGCGGCGCCCGACGCGTGCCCAAGGCACGTGGCCAGGGTATCGTGCCCGTCGCCAGGAGGAGGAAGATGAGGAGGAGGAGGAGGAGGAGGAGGAGGAGGAGGAGGAGGAGGAAGAGGAGGAGGAGGAGGAGGAGGAGGAGGAGGAGGAGGAGGAGGGAGAGGAGGCAGCGGCGTCCGACGCGTGCCGAAGGCACGTGGCCAGGGCGAAGGGTGTCTTCTCGAGGCCCGTCGTGGGCCAGGCATCTTACCAGCCTGGAACACATCCCTGTCCCCATGCTGGGCACCTCCTCATCACGATGCCGATCTTAGGGATTCCCTTTTTTTTGAGGGCGAATCCCCAAGAGTGTCATCGCCTGTTGGCGTGGCAACCTTAGGGATAGGGATACGTTCGAGGCTGGTAAGTATCTTTCCGTGGGTGCTCGGAGCCCATAGCTGCGACCTCAGCTTCGCCCGGGCTCGCCTCTCGATTTGCGTTTCCTCGGGCCCCCCCGCGCGAGGCACGGAGCCGCGCACGCGCGGCCCCCGCCCGAAGGACCAGGCCGTCCCCGCGTTCTCTGGTCAGCCACCCCGTTTGGGGGACTCTCGCCACACATTTTCAAACCTCCTCCTCCTCCTCCTCCTCCTCCTCCTCCTCCTCCTCCTCCTCCTCCTCCTCCTCCTCCTCCCCCTCTCTTCCCTTGGGCCGTGCAGGGGCGCCCAGGCCCCTCCCAGAGCACACTCCGGCACAACGAGCGGCAGTGGGTCTTTCTAGGAAGCGTCCTCTTCAGGGCGACAGTTCGGCTGGGCTTCGCCGCGGCCGCCCACAGCGCGGCGTTCGGCGTTCACCACGGAGCTCTATCTGGCCGCTTGTTGGTCGCTCCCCGAGGTGCAGCAGCATTTCCTGGGGTTGATCCGGAAGGCCGCTTGCTCTTGTCTTGAGTTTGGCCTGATTGGTTGATGAGAAGTCCAAGCCAGGTGTTAAACACCCACGTGCCTGCTCACTGGGAATGCCCCCCAACTCTCCCAGTTACTCCCGCCTCCGCTCCCGTCCCCTCTCCCCTCTCCCCTTCCCCCCCTGTTCCTTTTCCCCCTCGAGGCGATCCCCAGGGCCTCCAGGGTCCCGGACGCCCCGGACCCTGAGCAGCGGGCCGCGGAGGAGAAGATGAGAGAAGGAGTACGAGCATCCGCGCCCCAAGCCACCCACTCCCCCTCGCCGAGGTCCCCGCTGAGGCGCTGCCCGGCGCGGAGTCCCTGAAGATGACGGTCGACCGCGTGCTGCCGTTCCTGAACGACACGATCCTCCCGTGCGTCCGCCCGCCCCCCCCCCCAGAGGGAGGGAGGGAGGGAGGGAGGGAGGGAAGGAGGGAGGAAGAGAGGAAAGGAGGAAGGGAGGAAGGGAGGAAGGGAGGAAGGGAGGAAGGGAGGACGAGGAGGAAGGGAGGAAGGGAGGAAGAGGAGGAGGAGGAGGAGGAGGAGGAGGAGGAGGAGGAGAAGGAGGGAGGGAGACCTGTGCCGTGCGCTTCCCCTGCGGTGCCGTGTCATCGTGTGCCGTGCCTGCGCGGCGCGTCGGTTTGCGGCGCCGTACCGCGGCGCGTCCTGGCCTTGCCGCGGCCGTGGCCCCCGCGGTGCGATGCCGCGGCGTGCTGCCCTGCTGCCCCCCCCCCCGTCCGCGCCGTGCCCTGCCGTGTTGCTGCCGCGCGGCGCCCTTCCGACGGGGGGCTTCGCCGCCGACGGGGCGTCGAGGCGCGGGCGCCGCTGCCGCGGCGGGGGGGCGGCGGAGGAGCGGCGTCGCCTGCGGAGGCCTCCGCAGGGCCGGCGGGAGGCGGCGCTGCTGCTGCTGCTGCCTTCTTGCGCTTCCCCTTCTGATCTCCTCTTCCCCTCCTCGCTCTCTGATCCTTCTGATCTCCTCTTCCCCTTCTGATATTCTCTTCCTGCCCTCCTTCGAAGAAGAACAAGCCATACACGTAGACTATTGGCGCTCCGCGCGGATTTCTTGGATCCGCGCTGGGTCCCCCTCGCGGCGCCTCCGGCGCCGCCCCTGGCGCTGGAGGCGCGCCAGGGAGGGGGGTCCGGCGCAGATCCAAGAAATCCGCGCGGAGCGCCAAGAATCAATGTTTATGGCGTCTGTTGTTCTTCTACTCCCTTCCCCTTCTCATCTTTTCTTCCTTTCCTGAGCCTCAGGGCGACCTGCTCGCGCTGGTACAGACGAGTGTCCCAGGAGATGTCGTTTTGGTGGGGGGTCATCTTGTTTTGAGGGGGCTCGCCATCTGCCGTGCTGCGCGGTGTTGCGCCGTGCGGTGTCGTGCCGTGGCATGTCCTGCCGTATTGCGGTCCGCTGTGTGATGCTGCGGCGTGTTGCTATGCGGTGGTAGTTTACGTATTGGTTTGACATATTAAGTCATGCCGTGCCATAGTTGGCCAGGTTAAGCTTTACCATGTTGTGCGATGCGATCGCATGAGGTGCTATGCGACGCCATGTATTACCAGGCTATCGCATGTTGCATCGTGTTACGGGGCCATGCCAGCCTATCTGTGTTTTAGATCGTATTCGGTTGTATGTTACAGTAGGGATGACTGTGCCTTTCGAACCATGTCATGTTACCGCACGATCGTATATTCCTTACCTATACGACCACCCTTCGGGTGATAAGGAGGTTCGGGGGGGGAGGAACCAACGTCTCACTCGATCGGTTCGATCTCACTATCGGTCTCGCTCGATCGATCGCACTCGATCGATCTCACAATCGATCTCACTCGATCTATTTCATTCGATCGATCTCATAATCGATCTGACAATTGATCTCACAATCGATCTCACTATCGATCTCACTATCGATCTCACTATCGATCTCACAATCGATTTTACATTCGGTCTCGCTATCGATGCCACTATCGTTATCACAATTGATCTCAAAATCAACGTCATCATCATCATCATCAACATTATCGTCATCAACGTCATTCACATCATCATCATCATCATCATCATCATCATCATCATCATCCTCCTCGTCATCATCATCATCATCATCATCGGGACACCATTATCATCATCACCTACTCACCATCATCATCAGCATCATCATCATCGGGACACCACCATCGTCGTCACCATCATCATCATCATCATCATCATCATCACCAGGACACCCTCATCATCATCATCATCATCGGAACACCACCGTCATCATCATCTCATCATCATCATGATGAACAACATCATCAACATCATCATACTCATCATCGGGACACCATCATCATCAGCAGCAGCACCATCATCATTAACACCATCATCATCATCATCGGGACACCATCATCATCGTCACCATCATCATCAGCATCATCATCATCGGGACACCATCATCATCATCATCCACATCAGCATCATCGGGCCACCATCATCGGGAAACCATCACCATCATCGGGTCACCATCACCATCATTATCATCGGGACACAATCACCATCATCGGGACACCACCATCAAACACATCAGCATCACCTCATCATCATCCTCATCATCATCATCATCAGGACACCATCATCGTCGTCATCAACAACATCATCAGCATCAGGACACCATCATCATCAACATCATCATCATCAACAGCATCAGCATCAACCTCATCATCAACATCCTCATCAACGGGACACCATCATCATCATCATCATCATCATCATCTTCATCTTCATCTTCATCTTCATCATCATCATCATCATCATCATCATCTCATCATCTCATCATCATCAACATCAGCATGATCACCAACATCATTATTATTATCATCATCATCATCATCGGGACACCATCATCATCATCATCAACATCATCATCATCATCATCATCATCGGGACACCACCATCATCACCATCATCACCATCATCATCATCATCATCAACATCGTCAACATCATCATCACCATCATCATCAGCATCGGGACACCGTCAACATCATCACCATATCCATCATCATCATCATCGTCATCATCATCATCATCAACATCATCGACATCATCATCATCATCATCATCATCATCATCATCATCATCATCATCATCATCATCATCATCATCATCATCATCATCGGAGTACCGACGGGACACCGGCGGGACACCGGCGGGACACCGCGGGCCACTGGACGCCAGTCCGAAATCATTTGGTCCGGCCGCGCCTCAGTCGGAGGCGGGACACCTGTGGGACACCGCGGGCCACCAGACGCCGGTCCGGAATCATTTGGTTCGGCTGCGCCTCAACCGGAGGCGGGACACCGGCGGGACACCGCGTGCCACCGGACGCCAGTCAGGAATCATTTGGTCCGGCCGCGCCTCAGCTACAGGAGACTTTCTTCTCGCCCGCCCACGCAGCTTCGCCTCGCCCGCACGCACGGCACGCACGAACACGAAACCGAAATCGATTTCCCGGCAGGGGGGACAATTGCGAGCTTTGGGTATTCTTGGGGCGTCTTGGTGGGGGCCTCTTGGCGGTCCCGGGGGCCTCTTGCGTACCTCGGGCGGCCTCTTGGGGTCTCCTGGGGGTCTCTTGGGCGCCTCTTGGAGGCCTCTTGGGCGCCTCTTGGGGCCTCCTTGGCGCTCTTTGGGCCCTCTCGGAGCGCTCTTGGGAGGCTTGAGGATGCTCTTGGAACCATCTTCGAGGACATCGATTAAAGAAGGGAGGAACGACTAATTCGCCTTGCCCCTCTAGAGTGCCTAGAATCGTCTCTTGGACCCGTCTTGGAGCGCTCTTGGGGCCCTCTTGGGCCGCCTGGAACCGTCCTGAAACGGTCTTGGGGCCTCCTGGAGCATCTTGGGAGCCATCTTGAGGCATCTTGGGCCATCTTGCGCCATCTTGGAGGTCATCTTGGGCTCCCTGGGGGCCCTCTTGGAGCCGTCTTGGGCCACCTTAGATGCTCTGACCGCTCGCGGGGCGCCCCGTCCGGGTCCAGGGGAGGGAGTAGGGGGAGGGGTCAAGCTTCCCACCCGCTGGCAAGCCGTTTTGCTCACTCCGACCCGCCCTCCCAACACAGACGCCACGTCCGGGAGTCAGCAGATCGTGTAAGAACGTCGCAGACGCCACGGGTTCCAGATGCACCAGACCCTGAAGGCCCAGGTGCGCCAGGTGCGGCACGTGTTCCACGTGCGCCTAGTGTTCCACGTGCTCCAGACACTGGGATCCGATTGGGTTTTTTGGGCCCGGATTTGAGCTTTATTGGCAAATTTTGGAGCCATGCGGAGGTTTCAAAATCCCATCGGAAATGGTAAGGCGAAAAGGCAGCAGCCATTGATGTGTCAAACCAGTCGGTCGACCACCTGCGCCCAGAAGGCAGGTGGGATCTGCTGGCCCCCCAGGCGTCCTTGTAAAATGCCCATAAAAATTGGTCGCGGGCCGGCCGCGCATGCTCCAAATGTGGAGGCAGGGTGCGTTTTGCATTGTTTTTAGACAGGGATGGTGGGGGGGGTGACCCTCATGGGGTTGGCATGGTCCCGGGTTGGCCGTCAGCAGGGTAGGGGGAGGCGGCGTATATCAATAGAGAACAGTGATAAACCCGTCCCCGAAGGGGAAGAAGGGTGTTGGAAGAGCGGCCTCTCTAGACAACCTACGCTCAGAGGGCTGGTGGGATTTCTTAAGACGATCGCGCGCGGCGCTAAGGCGAGAGCCACATTTTGAAAAGGAGCCGATCTCCATCCGCAGAGCTCTTTTTTACAACGGATGTACGCGGCGCTGCATGTTGAAAACAGCCCGCCCTCAATCGGTGAAACTCTCTCACACTTTAAAGGCGAATGTTCGCGACGCTAAGGCGGGAGCCACATTTTGAAAACGGCCTGCCCTCCATCCGTGAAGCTGTTGCCAATTAGGAAACCTCAGGGTCATGCGTGGCGGGGAAGTCTCGGGGTGCGACAGGGAGGAGGTATTGATATGGAAAAAGAGTGAAAGGGAAAGAGGAGAGGAGGAGGAGGCAGAGGAGAAACATGAGGAGAGGACGACGACGACGCATCCCGTCTCCGCGGCGCCCTCCGAACCGCACGCCGTGAGGTCATGGCCGGCAAGAGCGTGCTCGTCGCCGCGCATGGGACCGCGGCCTCGTCGTCCTCCTCCTCCAGATCGTTTTCCTCCTCCTGATCGTCCTCTTCGTCCTCCTCGTGCTCCGCCTCGTCCTCCGCCTCGTCCTCCTCCTCCTCCTCCTCCTCCTCGTTCTTCTCCTCCCTCTCTTCCTATCTCTTCT